GTTCTTCATTTGTGATTCGTTATAATTGTATTTTTAGCAGCATTATTATTATTATTATTTTGTTGTTATTATTATTATTATTATTATTTCTGAGATGTATTTGTATCATTTTTTATTCCAATTAATAATAGTTTGTAAACTTTAAAAGTTGGCCATATTGAAGCCCCGCCTACTCTGAGCCACACCCCCAGACACTCATCAGCAATAAACAATGTCTGGCAGCTCCAGGAGTGACTGTATTTGTAACGAGAAGGAGCCCCAGGGGGAGGGTAGCAGCTGGTCTTATCCGGAGTGGAAGGAGGGAGCTGATAATTTGAGCTTGTTTCAGAAGCATGGCTACTTTATAGTCCGTAATCTCATCAGTCCAGAGGAGATTGAGGGAGCCAAGGGAGCCATTAGCTCAATCGTACAGAAATGGTTCCAACAATTGAAATCAAGCGATGCAACTGAAGAGAAAGACTGGGAAGAGATAGCTAACAGGTGAAAGAACCTCGGAAAGAACACTATTGTTATTTTATTGATAATAATTATTATTATTCTCTTTAGATTGCCTGATCTTCAAGGTAGAGATGCTTCAGAAGATGATGAGCTCTCCATTCGGAGGCTCTTTAGGATGGCTCTACATGACGAGTTCTTTGCTCAGTTCTGCCGTCATCCTAAGATCGTTTCCATGGTAACAGAGCTCTTAGGCCCTGACGTCAAGTTGCTCCAGTCCATGAGTTTATTGAAGCCACCTGGTACCTTCAGATACCAACTGGTTTATGTTAAATAACTCCGCCCACCTCCTCTAGGTTCTGGTCAGAAGAAGTGGCATCAAGATAACGCTTACTTCCGTCTTACTCCAGCAAGGGTTCTTGTTAGTTTGTTTATTTATTATTTATTATTATTATTATTATTATTATTAATATTATTATTATTATTATTATTATTAATATTATTATTATTATTATTTATTTATTATTTTTAGGGTGTATGGATATCATTAGATCCAACGGACTGTGCAAATGGATGGTAATAATTCATTTATTAATTCATTAATTTATTTATTATTTACTAGTATGCACATGTTACCCTGTTCCCACGGCAGTGGAGTGTATCCTCACTCTGCCCCAGCTAGTAACCACATTGACTACTCACTGGTGACTATACCCCGCCCTAATGATGTGAGTTAGCCACACCTACTGACCACACCCACTACCACGATCCATAGGTTGTTCCTGTGATCATGAGCCCAGGAGATGCACTCGTATTCCACGGAGAGACGGCTCACTATACCCCACCTAATGTCACTGGCACTAGGTACCAGCTGTAACCAATTATAATTAATTAATTAATCTGCCCCTCCCACTAGGCGTCGCTCCATTCAGTTCCATTATGCCTCAAGTCATTGTAAACCCACAAAGTGTCCGAGACAAGAGGGAGAGACCCACACTGACCCCACCTTACCCACGGACCCTGAGAAACCCCATTACTTTGACTGTGACCCACAGTGCAATGAGCCGGAGTACTGGTACTACAGGAAAGCTGAAGTCCTAGTTGCCGGGAGAGAATTTGGAGGAGACTTTATTTGAAAACTGCAGCTGCATAACAATCTATCGCTAAAATTACAGCTTTATTATTGTTATTCTGTTTATACTCTATGTTGTTTCTATTTTTGCTACAAATTGTTTTATTAATGTTGTTATATTGAGAGATATACATGTTCATAATTTTGCTGATAAAATATAATAATAATCATAATAATAATAACATTCTGATTGTTTATATATCATATGTAGTACTGTGTGTTGTCCTTAAATGATGTAGATGCTATAAATTAATTAATTAAGTAATTAATTAATCTTCCAACGCAAAAATAAAAATTATTTGAGTAAGAGAAAAAAGAGAGGGGCCAGGCCTGGGAATATTATCAGACCCTTTTTGTGGAGATTGATTTTAATCTCTCGCTGATGCTCCCTTCATCTAGAAAAGAAAAAATATTAATTATATAATTAGACAGATTGCTTGCATGGTTCTAGGTTTTTAAATAGCTAAATTACAGCCAAGTTTCCCTCCGGGGGGGTTAAAAGCCCACTTATTATTATTATTATTGCTATTATTATTATTATTATTTTATTATCATCATTACATCTTTTAATGGTTGTTCTGTCTCCATGAGTTTTAGCATCTGATGATAGCAGCTGAAACAAAAGTAGAGAGAGATGATATCTTCTTATTATCTAAAAGTAACAATAATTAATAATAATAATAATAATAATAATAATAATGTTTTAATACTTCTTCATTATTTAGAGTCCCTTCTTCAAGCATTGCTTGCTTACACTAGATAAAAATGAAGATACAATTAAAAATAAATAACAATTATTATTAGTATTCTTACCATGTCTACCGCCTGCCAGAAAATCAATTTCTCAGCAATAACAGTTTTATGTTGCTGCAAAATACAATAAAATAATTATAATTATGGTGGGTGTGGCATTGTGACATACGGAAGGCTGTTGCTGTCTCCTTTTAGTGAGACATTTGGAGTATAACTCTCTAGCTACTTGACCTTTCTGAAGACAATGCTTCTGTAAGGAACGGGCCTCTTCAATCACTAAAATAACACACAAGTACATTAATATGTATCAGAAAATGTAATAAAAATTGGGAGTGATTTCGGAGCCAATTTTTGGAAAAAACCATGGGCTATAGTACAGGGATTTTTCAGAATTTTGACGTTTTTTAAAAACGGCCGTAACTTGAAAAATTGAAGTCGAAATCAGCTGAAACTTTCTACGTAGCATAAGTACATCAATATGTATCAGAAAATGTAATAAAAATTGGGGGTGATTTTGGAGCCAATTTTTAGAAAAAACCATGGGCTATAGTACAGGGATTTTTTCAGAATTTTGACGTTTTTTTAAAATGGTCATAACTTGAAAAATTGAAGTCAGAATCAGCTCAAACTTTCTACGTAGCATAAGTACATCAATATGTATCAGAAAATGTAATAAAAATTGGGGGTGATTTTGGAGCCAATTTTTGGAAAAAACCATGGGCTATAGTACAGGGGTTTTTTCAGAATTTTGACGTTTTTTTAAAATGGTCATAACTTGAAAAATTGAAGTCAGAATCAGCTCAAACTTTCTACGTAGCATAAGTACATCAATATGTATCAGAAAATGTAATAAAAATTGGGGGTGATTTCGGAGCCATTTTTTGAAAAAAAACCATGGGCTATAGTACAGGGATTTTTTTTGAAATTTGGAAAAATACCAAATGTAAATGAAAAATGTAATAAAAGTTTGGGGTCATCTTGTGTGGCTCACCTTTGCTATGCTTGCCCTCTGGTTCCAGTGAAGCTGCTGCCAGTTCCAATTCATATTCCTTAAAACCATCCTCAATCACTTTAGCGGCTTTAACACAAAGTACCAACTGCTCAGAAAACCTTTGAGCATGATCTAAGACCCGCCCAGAATCACCCTAACAATAACAAATAATAATAATAATAATAATAATAACGATAACAAATGATGATGAATGTACTATTGATGATGATAAGAGTAACATTGGCCCTTGTCTACTCTTGGCCAGTTTAAGGAGTTCCTGTGCTATAGCAATGGAGACACTCAATGAAGACACTCCTTTACTGAGGGCAGACACCTAGAGGTAGAATATCATTAGGTGACTATATTCAGCCAATACTCTTCATTAAATACCTCATCAAGCTGTAACGAGAACATCTCTTCACTGGTCCAATCATCAAGTGGGCGTGGCTCCGGACTCTCCAGTGAGCGTGGCTCTGGACTCTCCTGTCCAACAATAAACAAACCCCGCCCATTACCAGGAGACTCTTGAAGCTCCTCCGCTTTACGGTGAGGTATCTCGTTATTCAATAACGTATTAAATCCCTTATCACTATTATTAGTATCCGATCCCATTAATAAACTTTGACTAATTAATTCTGTTGAATCACACATTGCCAGGCCTGTTGTGGGCGTGGTCGATGGCTGAGGCACATCCTTTTGCTCAAACAGTACTGTAAGTTTAGTGAAACTGTTCTGCCTGGAGGAGCGTTGACTAGCTCCGCCCACTGGAGAAAAGCCTGGCCTTGATATCGGACTGGAGCTCTTTGAATGTAAAGGAGGCGTGGCCTGAAAAGAGGAGGGGCTAACAATATACTGAGTGCCAATACCAAGTTTAACGAGAGAGGAGAAAGGGGGCGTGTCTCTTCTGATTGACGAAGGAGAGAGAGAAGAGGGCGGAGTCTGTCTCAGTTCCGAGAGAGGACCACAAATGCTTGAGAAATGAGGAGAAGATGGAGAGTATTGACTGGAAGAACCTTCTTTAGAGCCTTGCGATGAGGGAGACAACCGAGAACTAGTTGATTCTAAAAATAGGCACTACATGATCACGTGATAGTCACATGATACAATACATTACCTGCCGTAGCACCAACCAACACAAAATCCTAATAACAAGAACAATTATTAATTAATTAATTAATTAATTACTTCCAAGTCTTTGGTAGGTGGGCTTTGAATAGCTGTGAATATAATTATTAATTATTATTAATTATTATTAATTATAAATTATTAATTATTATAAATTATAAATTATTAATTATTCCTTACTGCTTCCGATGGCGTGTGACACAGGAGGTCCTGAGGAAGGGGAACAACGTTTATGACCCAACGAACCAGACCCAAGCTAGATAAGAAATTCATTATTATTATTATTATTATTATTATTATTATTATTATTATTATTATTATTATTGTTGTTGTTGTTGTTGTTTTTGTTGTTGTTGTTAGCTAACTGGAGAAGTGTATGGTGATGTGATTGAACGTGATGAAGACTGTCTCCTTTTAATGGGAACAGGAGATGACTTAGCATGAAGAGAAGGTAAAGACTGATCTGGAAGAGATACTATCAAGAGAGAGAGAGAAAAACATTCTGTGTACAATCCTTGTAACTGCTTTTACTTTTATCATCGTTAGACTCAGGCTGTAGAAATGGATGAGTAATAAGAGAACCTGAGGGAGGGAGGGAGGGAGGGAGAGGGAGAGCATGTCATATTATTCAAATTACATTTCACTACCACATTCTTACTGTGTGATATCCTTTCCTGTACATTCTTCTTTAATAATTTCAGCAACAGGTCAGCTAGCTTTGGAGAGACACCTTCAGGTATTCTATAAACAAACAAGTAAACAACAACAACAACAACAACAAACATTACCTTGGTACCAAAGTCTCTCTGGCATACCTTCGTCTTAATGCATGAGGATTAGATGCCTGAAGAGATTAATAATAATAATAATTATTATTATTATTATTATTTTGTTTATTAACAATAGGACAACAGCTGCTGGATGCGTCCAATAATGGTGTGACAACACAGTAAACAGACACGATAACTGCTAGCGCATAATAGACACATAGATTAACTGTTACTAAATATAGTAACACAGAGATTAGCAGTAGCTAAATATAGTAACAGCTAAGCATGTGCCCAATACATGCTAATGTCCATTGGAAGGTGTAGGTACATGTATTGATACAATGAGCCAAATTCACATTACAATGTACTAATGACAGCTGGTAGTATTCCCTCCTTTATCTCAATATGGCAATTCACTTTATGAAAAGGTACATGTACAGACTAGCCTCTATATAATGGACACTTCAAAGGTTGCTCTGTTACACAGAGGTGTCCTTTATGTGGAGGTTATTTTATACAGTAAGGAATGTAATTGGTACACTAGGTGCTGTCCGTTAAATGGAAGTGTATGCTATAGAGAGTGTCCATTAAGAGAGGCTACACTGTGTACTTTCCTAACTGCCATTACCTCAAAAGGAGCACGCCCCGTCAGACACTGGTACAGGATAGTACCTGTGCTCCATAAGTCTGCCTTGTTGTCATAGCGATGGCCTAATAATATCTCCGGAGCCTAGAATTAATTAATAATTCAGTAATTGACTCCACCCATTACCATATATAGCGGGGAGCCACAGAGTGTCGCTGCCATGTCAGCTCCATTGAGATAACGAGCGAAACCAAAATCAGCTAAAAACAACAACAACAACAACAATAATAATACATTATATAATTAATTAATTAATTACCTAGCTTTATTGTAGCTGATTGAAAGGACGCTGCAGGTGTTTTATTTGGCGGATAAGAAAGAAGCAAGTTTTGTGGTTTTATGTCTCTATGAATGATACGTCTTTTATGAATAACCTGTAATGCATTGGCTGAGGGAAAGGGAGAGAGAGAGAAGGGGGGAAGGGAAGGAAAGAAAGAGGATATAAGTAGGAAGATGCTCTTATCTCCTTACAAATATTTTTAATTAAATGTCTAATGGATTCTTCTGAAAGCGTCTTCATCTCTATAATAAGTATAATTATTATCAATTGACCACACCCCCTTTTACTTTGCAAATATTCCGCAAGATCACCTCCATTACAAAACTAATAAATAATAATTAATTAATATTGCCACACCCACTCACCTCCATAATTAAATATATTTCGTTAGACATTTCTTCATAATGATACAGCTGGACTATATTAGGATGCTTCAGATCCTAAAGGGGCGGGCCAGGAGAAAAGGAGGAGGGGCCAGGAGAATGATGCAATAGCATATCCTAATTACCACTTATTTGGTTGCCATGGTTACCTTAAGTATGGATATTTCATCTTGTCTTGCAGTTGAGAGCTTCCCTGGAATGTTCTTTAACAATATCTGCTTAATGGCGACTGCCTGTCTAGTCTATTATAAAAGGACAAACAAACAACAATAAATAAATAAAATAATAATAATAATAATACATGTACATGTAAATTTGTGCTCTTTATAATATTAATTAACATGTCTTTGAAGCATATTTCAAGAAAGATAATGCAATTATATATACTACAGGATCACAATCACTAGTAAACAAAGAGAGAGAGGAAGAGGGGGGAAGGGGAGAGAGAGAAGTTCTGTACTTGTCTGTGCTGTCCCTTAAAGACAAGAGCAAAGGCTCCATGCCCAATGAGTTCTCCTGGCCTGTATTGGTACTCACCAATAGACTGCATTGTACTAAGAGAGAGAGAGAGAGGGAGGGAGGAAAGAGAGAGGGAGAGAAGAGAGTGCTGAAGGGAGACAGAGAGATAATACTAATAAAGGTAACGACCAGAGGATTGTATTTACAGAGACTCGAGTGAGTCAGGAGAACAGGCAATCAACGGTGGAGAAGAATCCTTTTCCTTCTCTTCCTTTCCATGCAAGTGAGACAGAATGAGCGAGCACTGTGCGTGTAAATGAATGAATATGTACACAAACTAAGTTAATATGCAAAAATAGCAAATTCGACGCAAATACAAAATTACTACCACACCCACTGTAATCTATGTTAAAATAGAAACTACCAAATACGGTCAATTAAATGTGAGTGGGTGTTGATTGTGCGTGGGTGGGCTCGGCATGGGTGGGGCTGCTGGAGGTGTGTTGCTAAAAACAGGTTTGTCATAACCTGTTTCCCATCTCGCAGGATGAAAGACGCAACGTAGCTACATTAGATCATTAGTTTTAAGTAGACATCATTTTCATTCTGTCCGTTTAGAGCTGAAACCAGCCCTATTCCCTCTCCTAATAGATCCCCTGGCCACTGCTGTGTAACATAAAGTATGCCTCGAGGTGACAAAGAAGTTGTTGTCTCAGACTCAGAGCCTGGCAAAGTGGAGCCGCAGCAAGGCGGAGAGAAAATGCCGTCCCCAGCTCCGTCAAAGAAGATTTTCATGGAGGATCCCTCGGAATACAGACCAGAGCTAAAGGACATGTTAATAGGGAAAGATCAGGAAGAATTTAGAGGATTCTACAATGTAAGAAAGAGCAAGGACTTGTATTGAAAAGTACTATTGCTGTATCTCTCTTGCAATGTGATGTAAGACGGCATGTATCTTTCTCTTGGTAGGAGGATAATGAAAGATATGATATTGTGGCTGAGACTTATTCACAGATGCATTCAAAGCAAACCGTTGAGTTTGTGAAACACATGGTAATGAATAATAACTAAATTGACGTAATAAATTATATCATGATGATATCATTGATTGTAAATTATATTAATGTTGTGACCATGAGTCCTTTTGATGTTTATCTTTCTCCTTTAGCATGAGAAATGGACTAAATTGACACATTTCAAAATGACGATCATGGAAGCAGTTGAAAAACTTGACGAACTAGTTGATGAATCCGACCCAGACGTAAGAAACAACTAACAATACTAATAATAATAATTACTAACTCCTCCCTCAGATTGCACTCCCGAATTCAATCCATGCTTTCCAAACTGCGGAGAGAATCAGAGAGGCCCATCCTGATAAAGACTGGTTCCATCTTGTTGGTCTGATACACGACCTTGGTAAAGTCATTGCTCTTCATGGCGAGCCACAGTGGGCCACCGTGGGGGATACCTTCCCTGTTGGCTGCCAGTTCTCTAACAAGTGTGTATTCCCGGAGTATTTTGATAACAATCCTGATAGATCCCACCCAGTTTACAGGTAAGGACAGGATGTTTGTACAGACTAATGCACCTAATGGTCTTTGAAGTCATGCATGTTGGGATATTATTGGGATATTGTTGGTCATATGACAACTGTGTTTGTTAACACAAATTGGAATTGAATTAAAATATGTTCGTACCCACATTCCATCGATTGTTTGTTATTGATCTCACATACAACATTACCTCCTACTACCTCCTCATTAATATTCATACCTCCTCATTAATATTCATAACATGCTCCCCAAGTCCCCAGTCTCCACTCTCCACAATGTCTGTTGAGATTCATATCCACCTGCTACTGAACCATGAATAAGAGAAAGAGTACTAAATGTACATCAGATATTGTTGAATTACTTTCATTGTCAGGTACATGTACATTTTATCCTTTCCTCCTCTGCCAGGACCCAGTACGGTATGTACGAGCCTAACTGTGGCCTAGAGAAGGTCCAAATGTCTTTTGGTCATGATGAGTACATGTACCACGTCCTGGTGGGTAATGGTACCAGCCTACCAGTAGAGGGTCTGTACATGATCAGATATCACAGCTTCTATCCCTGGCACACTGGGAATGATTATGACTACCTGTGCAATGAGAAGGACAGGAGCATGTTGGAATGGATCAGAGAATTCAAGTTAGTGACATTACCTTTATATTGATCAGTTCTCTTCTTCTTGCTGATTCATTAAATGGTTGATTCAAATACATGTAGATTAGAGTTGGTAGCATTCCATCTCTTAATTGTGTTACAATACATGTACAGTACTTCTATAGTTATACACAATCAATAATAGTACTAATTTCACACTCTCTCTCTCTCTCCAAAATAGTAAATTTGATTTGTATTCAAAGGCGGACAGTATTCCTGATGTTGAATCAGTGAAGCCATACTACCAATCTCTCATTGATAAATACATACCAGGTGTATTGTCCTGGTAATAATAACAACAACAACAACAGTGTTGTTGTTGTTATTCTCTGCAGTTTCTGTTTCATTTTGGTTAATGATGATGATGCATTATCAGCATTTCATTATTATTATTATTCATTAAAATGTTCTATAGATGTCATCTCTACATTGTCTCATTTTTGTAAAAATCAGCATAATGAACTATAATTAATTATTTATATTTATTGTTTTGTTGGTGATAATTTTTCACTGCCTCGAGCTCTCATTAATCGTTCCACTATCTCCAACTTACGCATACCCAGCAGGCCCTTGTCTCCGCCTACTGCCACGCCCTCTCCTTCCTTTTTCGCTGAAGCTTTCGTCTTGAACAAATCAAGCAAAGCATTTTGTTCACTTTTTCGCAAACCCTAAAGGGTTAAATATTCAGTAGGTGTGGTCAGTGGTTGCCATGGTTACCTTCATCTCCAGTATTTTATGGAAGTTGTTGGTGTCATTGTCTCCATGCATTATGGAGAGGTAGTGAGACACAAACTCCTCAGCATGATCATGGGGGGACATTACAATCTAATGCACACGTATAAATTATTATTATTAATAGTCCATTTGTGTTACCTTGACGATAAGCTCCGCCTTCTCCATCCCAGTATTAACGAGTTTAGTATAACTGAAATATCATAAAACAATTATAATTATTAATACATGTACATGTACGTACGAAGCTGGAGCTTTACGAGTTACAGCTGCTCCAAGAGTTGGCAACTCAATTAGGACAGACTTGAGAGAATGAGTATCCAATAGCAACTGGAGGAAGGAATTTATTGATCAAAAGAGAGACGGAAATATGATAAAAGCTAAACCTCCTCTAACCTGTTCAGCGGCTATAGTGCTAATGGGCTTACACTTGTACAGGTGGGTTATAAACAGTGGGATAAAGACACTGGCAGTAGGTAGCATTAAGATATGATAGTCTCCGCTCTCTTACTTTGCAAATTTGTGACAGAAATTAATGAAATATTTTCTAACGGAGACCAAAGAGTCTCTAATTAACGGTATGGTCTGTCTCAAGTGGCCAACAACTAGCGAAACGTAAGAACTTTGATCACCAACGGCTTCAACGCTACCCCAGGACAGCTGGAAAAGGCAGTATAGGTTGATGACGTATTTCACTTACTTTAGTCATGTTGATGAAAGCGTTTAGACAAACAGACTCCAAGTCTTGTACTAAAAGTTGAACACAAGTCGAAGTCAAACTAAACAGTAAAATATAAGATATCAAAATTGTGTTAAGACTGTGTTAACATGCATTAGCATTTCACTGATATAAGGATCAATAGTGTGTTAAGATGAATCAGTAGTTACCTCCTGAAGGTCTCACATTCTGAAGTGAAATCAACTTTATCACTGAACTGCTCATCAATCTTATCCTTTAGTTTTGACTCCAACTAAAAGTGAAGACATTATACATTCATGTACATGTACATGTAACACACATGAATGTACACTGTACATGTAACACACATGAAATTACACTGTACATGTAACACACATGAAATTACATGTACATGTACATGTAATTTCTATAATTTCCCAAATTTCTGCAAAATGCATCAATTTAATCATTAAAACTTAGACAGCTGAACATGTACATGTACCAGTACCTGCATTGTAGTTTCCAGGCAGTAATCTGCAGTACAGAGTATTGTACAAACTAATGCCAAGTCATCATTTGTTAATTTTGATTCAGAGGGCGTGTCTCTTTTAATACCGGTCAGGGTCAGTCTGGCACCAGAACTGGAACTACTGACTCTAATTATAAGGACATCCTAATTAACAAGAAAAGTAACAATTTCTTTACTTCGGTAGACTTCCTTCGAGTATTTTCGTAGCGTACTCTTTCAAATATTTTTGAAATATTTCTGTGAGGCTGAGTAGAGGGTGTCCAGTAGACAGAGATGAACATTGGACCAAACACTTTTTGTAAAATATGAAAAGATCGGCAGCACTTGGGAAGGCTACCACACCTTCTCCTTTCTTAGTCGGACCAGCTGACTTCATATCAGTAACAAAACTGGCCATTAAGTCAAATAGATTCCTGTTATGATCATGTGAGGATCATGTGATAATATAACCACACCCACTTGTCTTGTGACTCAATGTACACGTTCAGATGAGGCTCGAAACATCGTGAGATCATACCAAGAAAAGGGGAGGAGTCCTGTGTGACTTTACTAACAGACTAATAAATAAATAAATAAATTAATTAATAATTACATGTCCCCACCTCTTGCCCCTCCTCCTCTTCCATTTCTTTCTTTGGTTTAACTTTCTTTGGTACAAGCTAATTAAAGTTTCAATACTAGCTGTAGTTAATGGGTGTGGTTTACCGAAGCTATGTAAGTACTACTGATGAAGCGTTGGGCCAAGAATTTTTCAAAAGCAGTCGTTTTTTGGATGGCAAAAAGGAGGAGCTTAACTTCCAGCTGGTCGGATTTTGCTTTCATAACATTTGAGAGTCCCTTTCTATAAAAATAAATAAATAATAATAATTATATAGTACAGCACATTTTGAAGCAACTTTAAAAATTCGTAAAAAAATCCAATTTTGATCGGAATCAGCTCAAACTTTCTACACAACATAAGAACATGTATATGCATCAGAAAATGTAATAAAAATGGGGAATTCTCTACTTTTCATTTTTGGCAAAATTCGGCCTAAGACCATGTACTATAGTACAGGGACTTTTGTCCGATTTTGGAGCAATTAAAAAAATTCATAAAAAATCCAATTTTGATCGGAATCAGCTCAAACTTTCTATACAACATAAGAACATGTATATGCATCAGATAATGCTCTTAATAATTATTACTAACTTTGTCATTTTACAAAACTCAATACATATTCTTTCTGGCATGTACCAATCAAGAGGAAAAATGGCGGCACATTCTTCCTCATAATTCAACAAGGACCTCTTCATCCAGCTGTACCTCCTATCAACCTAGCCATACCATATTCTATTTATAAAGACGTACATTTCAATATTACTTTATCAAGCCAGGACGGCTCAAGACTTTCATGAAACAACATGTCGTAGTCTGTCAACTGCATCTTAATAAACCACTTAATTAACTCCTCCCTAATTAATTAACACAATAAATTAATAATTAATTATTTATTACTTTGCTGTTTGATCAACAACATCCAACACAAGACAGGCATCATGAAGCTCCGCCTTAGCTCCACCCTATAATTAGAATAATTAATTATTAATGAATACTATTACACTTAACAGCTGTTCCTCTTATTGAAAACGCCTTTTCAAAATCAACTTTAATTTGAGCAGCAAGATCATGTTTCATTGATGACAACCTATAAATTAACCATTAATAACCATTAATAACTAGTGTCACATGACTGCTAACCTGTCTATCAGGTACTTTATTTGAGGTATTGTTTGATATTTCTTAAATTCCTCCACGACATCGTCAGCTCCTTTCAACTGACTGGCCACCTGGGCGTACTGTCTCATTCGCATGTTACGACTGTAAATGAAATACTCTATTTAATGCACATGTATTGCATATCTACAAGCTCTATTTAATGCCCATCTACAGGTTCTATTTAATGCCCACCCCTCACTCTATCTCCTCAAGGTTTATGACGAGCAGTCTCAGTTTCTCTAGGGTCCGAATAGAGTCCGTTAAATGCTTCTTGGCTATGTCCATCTGCTTAATGTCACCTGTGATCTTCTTCACCTATGCACATGTATTGCACATGTATTATTGTATTTAGTCATGTGATGGTCACATGACTGACCATCATTTCTGAATGCTCTGCCTTTTCCTTAATGTTTGATATTCGCCTGAAGAGTTCCTCAATTGTACTCTGAGCATCTTCTAACGACTAATGATAATAATAATAATAATAATAATAATAATAGTAATAATAATAATAATAATAATAATAAAAATCTCACTTGTCGTCCATCGTGTCCAGATTCGGCTTGTTCCCTTACAGTGGTCCGTATCTCATTATCAAGTCCATTGATTCTAGTTCTCATTCTGTTCAATGTATCGTCTACTGACGCTAGCGACTGTTAATAATTAATAAATCAATGGGTGTGGCTAGACTATCATTATAATGAAGTTAAGTACCTGCTCTGTGGGGAATAAAGTGTTAATGTATTCTATTGGATCAAAGTCAGTGGCGTCCAGAGGGTCTTTCTCACTAGAGAAAACCTACAAAAAGTAGATATACGGTAAATAAACGGTAATATAGACCTCTTGTATTGCTGCCTCCACGTCAGGAGAGTACAGGACGGACTGTAGCTCCTCTATCATATCTGTACTCCAGTCGGCGGCCATTTTGTATCTCTAATCAACGCCCACGTATCTAGTCACACCCCATTTTAAGCCACACCTACTCTGCAGGTTGAGCCCCACCCTTCTATAATCTAAAGGTGAGTTGCTGGTACTGTTGCTAGAAAGAGCAGCTTATCCTCCATCAGCCATGGGTCTCCTTTTACAAGCAATCTTCCTTGCATTAGGAGTCAGCCTGTCTTTAAGCAGACCAGCAGTGAAGGAGACCAGTTACCAACATGCTGCAGTTGCAACTGATGCTGCTCAGTGCTCAGAGATTGGTGTAGAACTGCTCAAAAAAGGAGGGAATGCAGTTGATGCAGCTGTAGGGAGTCTCTTGTGTGTTGGTGTCATCAATCTGCAGTCAACAGGGCTTGGTGGCGGCGGGTTCTTCATGTATTATGATGCAGAGTCTAGGGAGACCTCTTGTATTGACTTCAGAGAGAAAGCACCTGGGGTTATACCAGAATCAGCCATGGAGAGGTACATTGAAGATCCTACCTCAACAACAATAGGTAAGAGAGAAGCCATGCCAATGCACTACAACTTATTGGCTGCCATTACTAATACTGAGCTACAGTCATAGTAAATTAGTAAATAACTTATTAGTCTAGACTATAATTTGCCTGCAATTGTATTAGGTGGTCTAGCTATTGGTGTTCCAGGGCAAGTTAAAGGGCTCCATGAGGCCCACACTAGATTTGGTGAGCTCCCTTGGTATGATGTCGTTGAGCCTTCAATCAAGGTAGCTAGAGAAGGATTTGCTGTAACACCAACTGTAGCATTGGCTATATCAATAGTTGGTAATCAGTTGGATGAGAATTATCAAACACTGAGGTACCTATGAAATGATGAATGTGTCTGATTAACTATTTCCTCTTTCTGTTAGTGATTTACTCCACAATCCTGAGACTGGCCAGTTGTATAAAGAAGGTGAAATATTGAGACAACCACAATTAGCAGATACTCTAGAGTCAATAGCAAGATCTGGTTCAATATTCTTCTATAACAGTTCCTTCACTGAAGAAATGGTAGCAGAACTTGCCAGCGAATATGGTAGCATCCTCAGAGTAGAAGATTTCCTTAATTACAAGGCTGCAACAAGAGATCCGTTAATAAGCGAATACAAAGGAATGAAAGTTCACAGTTTTCCACCACCTGCCAGTGGCTCGGTTCTATCACTAGTGTTCAATATATTAGATGGTAAATGCAAAGCTGTGCATCCTTCAATCACATGCCATTGTCTCTGTAGGTTATGATCTAGATGAGATTGACTCCCTCTCTTATCACAGGATTGTAGAAGCATACAAGTTTGCTTACGGTCAGCGTCTTTCATTAGGAGATCCTGACTACAACGAAACTATATCTGAAGTAACAATATTAGTATTATTATTATTATCATAATATCTCAAACAGGTGGTTGATTTCATGTTAGATGTTGACACTGCAGTTGATATGAGATCAAGAATCACTGACGACACAACACACGATGTTGAATATTATTTAGAAAATCAGCCACTGCATAATCCAGAGTCACACGGTACAACACATCTATCAGTGATTGATGAGAAAGGAAATGCAGTTGGAATAACAAGTACAATTAACCTGTAGTGAGTACTACAAAAGAACTACTTTAATGCACACAATCTGTGGTTACTTTGTACTTGAGGCAGTATAAGTTGGTAAGATCTTTATGTTCTTGGCTTCCTCAGCTCAAAGTGACCACATATTGCCTGCAATGGAATTTTCATAATGTCCTTCTCTTTTAGTTTTGGTAGCCGCTCAATGTCTTCCAGGAGTGGTATTATATTCAACAATGAAATGGATGACTTCAGTGTCCCTGGTAGAAACAATAGCTTTGACTATCCTCCGTCTCCTTCAAATTACATAAAACCCAACCATCGACCACTCTCCTCCATGACTCCGACCATTGTCACTGATGAAGAGGGGTCAGTGGTTATGGTCGCTGGTGCATCAGGTGGTTCAAAAATACCAACAGCAACATCTCAGGTATAGCTAGACATGCATGCATAGGCGGTTGCAGGCCTGGGCATTAGAGGGCAATGCCCAGGTTGACTTTTTGACCAATAATTATATTCATGATTCTGGTGTGGGCATCCAGTGTAAACTGTGGTAGTTCAGCAGGCTTCTTTGGTGCTTTATGCTAAGAAACCATCTCAATGAAGTTATAGATCAGTATTGTCCATTTTCCTTGCAAAATTGTATGGAACCACACCCACTAATTATTGATGCCCAGGTCAAACCAAATTTCTGCAACCGCCCATGCATGCATGTACATTGAAAGGAATTGCTGGAGTGTAGACGTGTTATTAGCCATTAACTCACTTCCCTTCCTCTCTCTCTCTCTCTCTGTCAGGTGATACTGAATACACTCAGCTTCTCTATTCCATTGGAAGACGCTGTATCAAGGCCACGCCTACATCACCAACTGATTCCTAATACATTAGAAGTTGAGACTGATTTCTCTCAAAGTTACATTGAGGGGCTAGAGGAACGTAATCATGTGATTAGAAAGACGTCCTCTGTGGGTGTGGTCCAAGCTATTTATAAGGAAAAAGGAGGACTCATATACGCTGCATCTGATAAGAGGAAGGGAGGGGAACCAAGCGGATACTAACCAACTGTTTATAATAATGATACTCTATGTTTATATAGTGCTGTGATTTAAAAATAGTAATAATTATAATAACTATAATAGTTATAACTGTCAAGCTAAAAAGAGAGAGAATGTGTTTAAAATTTTAAAATAATTTGTATAATAACTCACTGAGTTTGGAAGAGATTCACACTATAATGTACAGGAAATCACAATCCTGGAATAAACAAACAAATAAACAAACAAACAGGTAAATAAATAATTACTTTACACGACATCAGTAAAAACTCTTGATAAGAGAACTGAGGAGGTGAAGAACAACACTGACTGAATGAGGAGGAAATGGATAAGAGGCCATTAGCAGCCATGAAGGGATTGATTCCTTACCTATGCTGCAATGAAGCTTCACGTAACTGAAGACGAACATACTCCAGTGTAATACCATCTTGCTGTTTATAAAATAAAGAATAAAAGAATATTTTGATTTAAAAAAACTAACAGCAGTGTTTATAGAGAGACCACACGAGCAGCGTATGAACTCGTAGTCCTGTGTTAATACATCTCTATGATTAATAATAATAAAATAATAATAAATAATAATAATAATAATTTAACAGCACCTCAAACAGATTGGGCATATGATGGGATCAGAATCAAAAGATACTAAAGCTGATGTAGTTGATTCTTCATATTGGGCAGCTAGTCTCTCTTGCTCTACAGAGAGAAGTCATGATGATAAAGAAGGAGGAGTTACATGTATATACCTTCTTTTAGTAATTCTTCAGTAATGTCCTCCATTATCATAAGAATAATATCAATGTCTGGTGAGTGGGTGTGGCTTTCACTATCAGGACTAGTCCATTGGCTATTGGCAGTACTCCGCTCAGGAGTATACTAACAATATACAAGAGTATACCAATAATACACAAGATTGTACTAATAATACCATTAAATTCTCTCCAATAGGATCTTCATTAAATGAAGAGCTCCTCTGCCTTTTAGCTCCACGGATCAGTAGTGGAGGAAGCTCCGCCTCTTTCCTACAATCAGCTGATCATCAGGTGGTAACAACACGAGTGGGTGTACCTAAAATTGTCCCATTCCTCCTGCATGGCCTCATAAACAGCATCAAGTACCCCAGAGCCATCAACACTCGATCCTATCCGTCTACTATCAACGACTGCTTCTCTGTTCCGTCTCAGTCTCTCTGAACACCTCTTTCAAATATTAATATTATTTAATATTATTACTATTCAATATTTCTAGAAGCTGTGAGCTAGTTTGCAGTACCTGTCTATAAGTTTCTTTCCATTCTGTTCTCTTTCCTTCGTTCTTATACAAAGCTTTCCTTGCGTTGAGCTGTTTCCTATCCTTTGAAGAAGGAGGAGTCGAGCTGGTCGCCATTTGTAATCCCGTATATCTAAGAATCCGGATTTTATACAGAGCACGTGGTTAAAGTAAACGAAGTGGTGATACGTACGTACGTCCGGGTAGGAGAATGACGTCAGCCGCGTGGTTCAAGTAAACGGAATGGGTTATTTCCGGTTATCTGTGCTTGAAGCCACACCCATAAATTCAAAATGGCGTATCAGAGTGCAATTCAATTTTGGAAAACATTTGATCTTCATTCTTTACAAGTTAAGACAATATTTATTTATTTATTTATTTATTTATTTATAAATAGAAACAGTTAGATGAGGAGGCTACGGAGGTGGCTAGGCGACAGGATGAGTCTGACCTGTCAGTTAGGAAACTAGTTGAACTGAGCAAAGAATTCAAAAAGAACTCGAATGAAGTAATATACAAATTAATGTCAGCCTATGAGATTGTCTGTTAGGAGGTGCGTAAGGCAATGTCTCCAATATTGAGAGCATTTCAAAGTGAGATTGACTCATTGACAAGACGTGCCAGCACTGCAGAAACTCACTTTCTTAATGCGTACAAGAAATTTATTGAAATACCTGGTAGGTAACCACACCCACTAATAAACCACTAATAAACCACACCTCCTTTAGATCCTAGTCCTTTACTTGAGTCGGCTGTGGGACAGCATCAGAAACTGATGAACATGCAGGACCTTGCTGTGGAGAACTCAAAGTTGCGGGAAACCCTCGACGAATATACTAAAGAATTTGCACAAGTCAAGAACCAAGGTGACAATAAATTGCAACATTTATTAATTAACTTTAATTAATTAATCAGCTACAACTATTAATAAACTGAAGAATCAAATTAAGGAGCTTGAAAATTCAATTGAAGAGAAAGCAAAAGTAATTATTTATATATATATTTATTTATTTATCTAATTTATTATTAGTCGAAAGCTAAGGAGCAGACAGCTCAATTAATGGAAACTTTTGAAGAGAAAGAAAGGTACAATGTAAATTAATTGATTAATTAATAAAAATCAATACAATGTAGAGAGTTTGCTGAAGTATTGTCAGCTGCTAATAGTTCAACGAAAGAGTCCGTTAATAAATGTACTGTGCTGCAGGCAGGTACGTTGTGAGGGGTGGGGCTTGTTGTCATGGCGATCACTTTTATAGCACTTGAGTCTACACAAGCAGAACTGTTTGAACTTAAGAATAAACTGGACGAGAATTCATCAGCAAAGTGTGTCATTATGAACCACTTATTATTATTATTATTATTATTATTGTTATTATTATTATTATTATTATTATTATCATTATTATTCAGACTGGCTGAGATGGATATACTAGTAACTGATTTGGACAGAGCCAATCAAAGGGCCCAACTAGCAGAGAAGGAATTGGAGAGACTTCAGACATTAACACAGCAAAAGGACACTCAACTTAAAGTATATCAACATTATTGATATAATCACTAATGAACTTATGATGCTGTCACAAATTTGACAAAATCCCTGTACATGGTCTCAGGCCAAATTTTGCCAAAAATGGAAAGTAGAGAATTCTCCATTTTTATTACATTTTCTGATGCATATACATGTTCTTATGTTGTGTAGAAAGTTTGAGCTGATTCCGATCAAAATTGGATTTTTTTATGAATTTTTTAAATTGCTCCAAAATCAGACAAAAGTCCCTGTACTATAGTACATGGTCTCAGGCCAAATTTTGCCAAAAATGGAAAGTAGAGAATTCTCCATTTTTATTACATTTTCTGATGCATATACATGTTCTTATGTTGTGTAGAAAGTTTGAATTGATTCTGATCGAAATTGGATTTGTTATGAATTTTTAAAGTTTAAAGTTTCCATTTTTCTAATTTCTAGTCTTCAGTGGATACTTCTGAGTTGGAGCTTGAGCTGAAGGTGAAGGACAAAGAACTGACATCAGTTCGGGAAGATGTGGAGAGACTTCAAAAAAATCTGCTGACACTGCGAGATAAATCGACCAATCAGATTGAGCTGCTTGAGAAGGAACTGAGAGATAAAGGGATACGACTTTCTGAGGCTGAGAGACTGCTGAGTCAGCAAGAAGACTATGAAGAAATCAAAAAGGAATTAAAGTGAATCAAATCATGTTTATTTATTTATTTTTTCATTTTATTTTATATATTCAGTATTATGAGAAGTGTGGAGTTTTCGCATTCGTCTCAAGAAGCCACACCTACTGTAGGTCACATGGTAATCATATGACCTGATTATATTTTATTTTCCAGAGCTCAGTCAAACCTCTTGAAGTTTTGTTGTTGGAAAAGAACAGAGGTTCAATTATTTTTATTAATTATTAATTATTAATAATAATTATTAATAGGTCTTATGAATGAGAACACTCGGCTAAAGACAGAGCTCTCAGAGTTGAGAAGTATGTTTCTAAATTTATTAACAATCCCACACTAACAGAGCTATCTTTGGTCCCATTATGTAGTTCATTTCTCCTCGTTACAAAGACAGCATAATGAGACACTCCAGTCTGTACAGGACCAGCAGCTACTTATTAACCAGCTGGAGACTGACCTTGCTCAAATACAACCATACCTTCCTCCAAGACCTGAAGCTGAGGTAAGGCACAACATGTAGCATAGAGTACATGAATATTCACTGAATGTCATCATTACTTCATGTAGGGTCAAGCCAGTTCAAGTGAGTTCATCGCTGAAGCAGTCAAAGACATTCATCCCGAGAGAAACGGTAGAGATGAAGCGGATTTTAGTAGTGGGCGGGGTTATTAATGTTTATTAATAGATGAAGGTTCTTTGCTAGCGATTGTCACTAGTCAAAGAGAGAGACTTAAGCAGCGGAACATGGAACTAGAAGCAGTGAGATAATGTCCTAATGATAACAGTGAGGTATTCTCTTCTTAAGGAGTGCCAGGAACACAAGCAATCTGCTGTTGTTCTTCAAAGAGAAGTTGACACCCTCAGGGGGGATAACGTTAAATTGTATGAGAAGGTACGGTTCCTTCAGACCTACTCAACCACGGTTAGTAGCCACACTCACCTAGCCCCTCCCAGTTAACCACACCTACAGACCAAACCCACCGGAGATGACCTAACTAGTCGTTATTCGTCTCAGTATGAAGCCAGACTGGATCCTTTTGCTGCCTTCAGTTCAAAAGTAAACAACTTTGTTTATTGTTTATAAAGTTACGAGTTGTTTACATAAAATGTACATGTTGTATTCCGTTTATTACCAATGATGGGCTTAATTAATGTATATCAATGCCATGTCTGATTTAAATTATATCTAAAGTTGGTTATTAATTATAAATTAATCATTAATTTAAAAGGTTATGTCATGTAGCCATGATCTCGTTAGCGTGTGTAGGCGTGTCACTTTTCGTTTTCCCTTTTACAGGAAAGACAAAGAAAATACATGCAACTGAGTGGACCTGATAAAGCAACTCTAATTTTAGTAAAAATAATAAATAAATAAAGAATAGCAGTAATTGTCTGTTGTAGGGAAGGTTCATACTGTCAAACAAAGTTGCAAGGATGATAACTTTCTTCTACATAATAATAATACACCTCATAATAATGCTGGTGAGAGAGAGAGCAGCTGTTAGTATTCCTATAGACAATAGCCCATTATTGTGTTGATGTATTTATTCAATTATATTCTGTTACGACTAGGTGCTGGCTAAGTTGGTAAACACAGCAAGCGACTCCACCATTGATCTTTACACTGAATGTGCCAAGAAGTAAGTAAAAAATATTGTTTAGTCTTTTAACAAATAAATGATGTGCATATCATTCACCTGTATGCGTATGTACATGTATATTTTTGTTTTATTTTCTTCAGGTTCTCTCAGCACATGTCTGTGTTTCATGATGTTCAACCAGGCGATCATCATCTACCAGTGGCAGGTGAAGGAGGTTGAAACATTAACTAAACACAAACTGTTCATCTCTCTCTCTCTCTCTCTTTTCATTTCCATTATTATTATTATTATCATCATAAAGTAATATTATTTGAATTACAAAAGAAGCCCCTCCCCTTTTATCAAACGGTATTTCGTTCTTTAACTACAAGTTTCTTCTTTGGTTGTTCGTAAGCTTTAGCTGCTTTTACTTGAATCAGCTTCTCTCTCTCGTCATCAAAAACAGCTGTAAGGTGCCCACCATAAACACACCCTGTATCAAGGCCAGTGGCAAATGGATACCTTTGCAGAAACCTAATGGCGTCATGTCCAAAATACACATGATCAGGACCAATCCAGGTTTGGGCCCAAGGTTGTGGGTGTGGTTCTTGATAGGCCCCACCCCTCTCACTTGAGAATGTGAGAGTACGAAGGTCAAAGGTCACATTCCTGAGGTGCAGGAGGTCATGATGAGATTGTTCCTCAATGGGTACCCCCGGTACTAGGCCAGCATGGATTACTAGGACTTCCCTTGATGGAAAATGAATTGAAAATGGTAGCTCAAAATACCAATCCATCTCTTCTTTACTAAGCCTACTCAACCACGAGAACTTATCACTGAGAGGCTCCGCCCCCTCAGAGTGTTTCAACCATTCAAGGAGACATATTTCATCATGGTTGCCACGGACACAATACCCGCCCACCTCTCTAACGAGACGTATAGACTCAACATTAAGAGGCCCTTTATTACAAACGTCACCAACAAACACAACGAGAACCCCAGGATCCCTTCCACCTGCTTTATCTAACAGCTGTACCAGTTCATCATAACAACCGTGTACATCACCGACGACCAGTAACCGTCTGCCCTTCAGTTCGTCCTCTGCCACTGTCCTGTGTAGTACACTGGGCACTGGTAGCCCATACGGGGTCCTGTCTATGAGGAATGGGTGTCTAGAGGAAGGAAAGAAATATTTCAATGATAATCTCAAATAAGAGAGGCATTGGGCAATCAAGGCACTCATTATTGTTAGCCACGCCCACTTGATGGTAGTAGGCTCCACCCACTTACAAAATGGCCGATGACAGCCACACCTTTTTTGTGGTATGGCCACACCTACATAAAACATTTAATTTATTCAGTGCACACACTCGTGTCGTGTCCTGTTCCTTTATTGTGGCTAAATCTTGACCAGAAAGAGAGACAGTGACTGATACTAGTAGAAGAAGAAGAAGGTCCATTTTCATAGCAGCATAATACATCAGTGATGTTAGGAGCTCAGAATAATCTTTCTCGTTCCCGTCAGCCCAGTCCTGCCTCAGTCTCCATAGCATCTGCGGGTAGTGGATCACTAGATACGGACTGGAGGACTTTCTCTCGCGATGAAGGAAGAAGAGCAGCCCTGGAGTTCATAGATAGGGCCAGGGCCTACATACAGTCCGCTAATAGCCCGAGAGTACAGGAATCAGCTCTAGTGAGAGAGTTTGCAACTTCACTGACAGAAACACTCGGGGCCAATCAGACGCAACCTTCTTCTTCTTCCTCCTCAGCTCAACTCCGCTCCCTCTCTCCCCCAACCCTCCATTCTACTGGTAGGAAGACTAACAGTGGCTCTAAACACTGGTGGAATATATTCAAGAGGAACAAAGGAGACAGAGGTTCCTCTTTAGGCAGGAGAGACTCCATCAAGAGAGGATCCCATATTGATAATGATCCTGGGATCCTATTGGACGGGATACTCCAGCAGATGAACCTAGTCAAGGACACGCCTACTTGGGAACGCTGTCGACTGCTGCTCATTGATCGTCATGGTAACCACCAGCTTGAGGTTTATTCACCTCCTAAGGTATGGAGCGTTATTGTTGGGTGTGGCTACGTTTGATTATTAATTAATTAATGCTATTATTAATGTATGGGACTTTTACATTTTATCTGTGATGAATCTTAACTCATAGTACTAATCATAGTAATTAATGGTTTACCTTGGACACTCTGTATGGCTTTTGAACCCTTAGTAACAGCTGCTTATTATTATTATTATTATATTAATGTTGATGTTGTTATTGTTATTTTAAAGTTTTGTATGTATTATATAAGCTGCTATTATATTAATAGTATCTAATTAATATTGATCCCCATGTCATTGTTTACATTATGCGTGTAGTGTAGATTATTCTGTGAGTGACATCATTTTGTTAAAGTTTGTTGTATCAGTCCTGAATCTTCTGTGTGGTACAGGATGTTTTTAAAAGACTCCCTTTATTATTGAGTAGGTTTATTTACATTGTATGGCAGGCTACAGATTATAGGGAAAGTTTGTGAGATTTCATAGTTAGGGCCCTTGTTTGTAATAGATAGTGATATCACATCTACTCTGTGTAGCTATCTCTTTATCTTTATTGGTTTTTGGTTGATCTTTGTATAAACTAATTGTGGTTTGAATATCTTGTGTTGAAGGTAGTCAAAATGTCTGAGGGTTTGTATACATGTATATGTCTTCTCTCTCTCTCTCTCTCTCTTTCTTGATGTTGTTGTGTTTGTTTATTATTGTGTTAAGGTGGTGTCATGGTATGTTACAGTGTCTCATTATTTGTTGGCGGGTGGCTTCCAATAAGGCTACAGCTGCTGGTATTGTGTACATTATCTTGTGGACTGTGTATCCTGTTCTATACGCTTCACTGCCTTCAATTGCAGCTGCATGTTTCCCAATCAGTCATCTGTATAATACAACACTTGTCTTATCACTCAGTTATCATCATGCATCATCATCATCATCATCATCATTATTATTATTATTATGAGAGAAAAGGGCAACAAAAAGAGATGAAATATATAGAAAGGAGGAGAGGGATTATTATTATTATTATTATTATTATTATTATTGTTCCATACAACCTCTCTCCTTTCCTTCCTCTCTTGCCTACGGCCAGTACATGTATACATATTCTCGTGTGTAAACACTTTAATGTTTTGTGCGTGTGCTTCTTGATAGCTGTTGGCTATTGTAATCAGTTCACTATGGTATGTTCCTATCTGTTTATTCTGTCCTGACTCTGTCTGTAATATGAGAAAGGGCTGGTGTGTAGTAGCAGCTGTAAATGGTTTGTTTGTTAATCTGGTAGTGTCAAGCTGTAAATGTAGAGTAAAGGTTATTTTTGATATTTCAATTACATGTACTCACCAACTGACTCTGTCTGGGAGAGGGAGGGAGGGAGGGTGGCTGCCTGTCTCTAATTTGATAGAGTAAGTTGATGTTTATGTTGTGTCTTCCTCTCTCTCTCCCAGTTTGTTGTCTGTGGTCAATCTTATTTATGTCATAATGTTGTCTGAATTGTCACTCACTTAGTTTGGCCTGTGTTGACACTGTAACCCACAGAATTACCTCTCTCCCTCTCCCTCCCTCTCTTCCTCTAGAACTGTGTCCCTAAGATGTCCTTGTTTTGTTTCCTGATTGAAGAGGTCCGCTGTACATCTCTCCTGGAGGTACCCGACTGTGATACTTCATTTGTCATAAAAGTAAGTGAAAGGAGGAGGAGTAGGGACATGAAATGTTAATCACAATCAGTTAAATAAACTATGACAATGCCTCCATATCATATACCTCTGTATTAATATTATATGTACATTGTGTATTTACTTATTGCTGTATGTTTTTATTAGTCGAGGAGTCATGGAGAGTATGTGTTCAAGGCGGGGAGCTATCATGATAAGAGCATATGGATCAGCACCGTACTTCAGTATACGACTGCACCAGGAGCTCCTGGCAACATGCACATGTAAGCCACTTTGATGTATCCTTATAATAACAATCATTCTCTTGTGTTAGTTTTAGACATGTTAAGTCAGTATACATGTACTTTAGGCATGATACAGTAATTGATCTTATTAATAACCATTAATAACTATCAATAACTATTAATAACCATTAATAACCACAGGTCTGCCTCAATGAATGCTCTCTCTGATACTCAGAGGATAAGTGGTCGTTCGTTCACTCGATCTCGTTCCCAAACTCCCATAACTCGTTCCACTGGTTTGAACTCAACAATAGCTCGGTCTCCGGTTCCTCCAACTGGCCCCACTTCCCGAAGGGAGGAGCCAGTCATGATAGATATAATGCTATTGGATACTGCTACTAATGGACCCGTTGCTAGGGAACAACCTGTCGTTGCTAGGGAAGACTCTGGTACGAACAGACGTCTAGTAAGAAGCATGTGTTTGGACACGCCCTCACCTCAGTTATTAGAAGGCCACACCCCCATTGACCATATCCCTCCTGACCTCCCTACTGATGATAGTACTGCTGGGGCTGGGGATCAATCAGTTACCGGACCCTCTCCCCCTCCCCCTCCCATCCCTCTCCACAGGAAATCAAGTGCCCCTCCCATTGTTGTTAATAGTATGCGTAACGAAGAGGGCGGGGCCTCACTGCCGCTCTACAGCAGTTCTGAGGCTTTAGGTTGCGTGGACTCTGAGGAAAGGCTCGAGTTTGTTAATGTGCCTCCTGTTGAAAGAGGTGGGCGGGGCCATTCTCGCCGTCGCAGTTATGACAGTAGTTACAGTCACAGTACAGACGTGGGAGGAACAGGAACCACCTCTCCTCTTGTCAGGAACAGTTATAGAATTGACGTGGGTAGCAACGAGAGGATTAGTTCCATAGCAACCAGTGGTCCCTCTAGTACATTCTCTAGTGCCGGTAACCTCCATGATGTGACGAGGGATGTTACCCACTCTCCCTCGTCCATCCTCCCTACCACCCCTGACCCTCTCATGGGACTGGAGACTGAGAGCCAAGCCTCTTCAAGCCACGCCCTCTTTATTGAAACCTCCAGTAACGTTGACGTTCATTTACCACGTCACACTGAGCATCCTTATCAGTCCTGGGCTACCACTTCAACTGACGTTGAGAACCTCCGGGTATTGTCACAGTATCCTTGGTTTCACGGGATGATATCTCGTAATAACGCTACACAGCTGGTTCAAGTGGGCGGAGTTACTGGCAAGTATCTTGTGAGACAGTCTGAGTCTAGAGAAGGAGATTTTGTACTAACTTTTAACTGCCACAACAGAGCAAAGGTACAGCTTCATGTACAATTATAGTCAGTCAACTTCAGGGGAAATTACTATTTTGCTTGTCCTAAAATTATAATTTTAGTTATGCTGGGAGTTGTCCTCTTAATAATTGCTCGTAATTATTATTAATTACACTATGATAGCTTCAGTGCTTTTATTTGTAATTGGACGCCTTCAGTGTTTACATTGACCTAGTGCCTGAAAATACAATTACAATAACACGTACATGTACATGTACATGAACAGTATCTCAATGTAATCCTATTATAAAGTAAAGGGGGACCCTCTAATGAAAGTGCATTATTGTGTGTGTACAAGTTAAAGGTTCATGTGGTATTACTTTTTGTGTTTTTCTTTTTCAGCATTTAAGACTCACTCTTGATTCATCAGGCTGCACTATACAGCACCTCTGGTTTGAGGACTCTGCTACAATGATTGAGTACTTTAAGACCCATCCAATACCTCTGGACTCAATACCAGCTAGTGAAGACATCACTTTAACGAGTTATGTCGATCGGTCGGCCTCTGACTCATTCCGTACGACCACTGTCATCAACATGGAGCGGATTAACAGGACTCCGCCCAGAAGATCTCGTTCAATCCACGTCACATCATCTCAAGGTACTGATAGGTCTAATTCTCCTCTGCGTTCCACCAGGGGGGCCTCCGGGGGGGCTGGGGGCTCTAATTGGAGACAGATATTCAACAGGAGGTCCGCTAGTTCTCAAAGTGTTCGGTCTCATGCCACAGTTCAGAGAACTCAGTCGGCTAATGCATCATCAATGCAAGAGATTAGAGGAAGGACAATAGGAGGAGGGGCCAGTAGGTGGGGCAATAGGGTACCTGAAAATAACTATGTTAGCCGGCAGTATTAATAATGAATGAATTAATTAATAGTTATTAAGTGGTTGTTGTGTCAATGTCAAGTTGTTCATATTATTTCTTCATTTTTGATCATCATTAATATTCATTAACAATATAATATCATAATTATTTTCCTCTCTCACAATATTCATTATTATTTTCATATTTAAAATCAAAATATTTTGAAAATGATCTCATGAACAGAAACAGCAACAACAAAATGAAATCACTTCCTTTTCCTTCTCTTCCTTCCTCTGGTTCCACTTGTCTCTTTATTGCTGTTCCGGTTAACACTAGTCTGTTCTCCAGTATTACTGGTCAGTCCAGTTTCAATACTGGTCAGTCCAGTTATATCATCTTTTGTTAGTGTTACGGTGACCTCTTCCTCTTCATCAGTATCTTTGTCTCTTGGTTTTGTTTTTGGCGGTTCCTCTTCCTCAGTAACAGGTGGTTCTTCTTCCATTGGGTACATTATTTCATATACATCTTCTTGGACTTCTTGCTAAAGAAACCGAGACAATTTATGTAGCCACACCCTTTTCCATTAAATCTTACAATTATATCTTTGCCATTCTTTCTATCTTCTTGTACATTAGCAGCTGCTACAAGAGAACAAGAGAGAGAGAGAGATAGTGTGTGAAAGGTGTTTAATGAAATACTTTGAATATTATCAATCTGGAGTGTAGTCTCTTTTAAGACATTTGTTAATATTGACTGGCCATCTTCATCCATACTGAAATAAACAAGCGTAACAGGTGTAAAAAATATTCCTATAATTGATTTCACCACCTTGCAAGTACAACTTGGTCATTATTAAGACTTATAGAGGTTCTCTCTACCTTATAATGCTTCTAGAGAAGTCTTTAGACAGTATCTCTATGCTCTCTTGCTGTTAGAAAGCTCTTAACTTTCTCCCTGTGTAAGCCGCCATTTTGTTTGCCGTGACCACACCGACTCACGTAAAGGAGCGTGGGCGGGTGGTTGCTAAGGCTTGTTATTTCTCCAATACAACATGTATATATAGAAGAAATGTAAGTGTGGACATACAAATATATATATATAGATAGCGCGATGGTGAATTCAATTATAGGAACGACCTGGGGGCTTCGCCCCCAGGTCGTTAATAAACAAAATAAATAATTAAAACAGTTATTATTATGTTTACTTTTTAGCATTAGTCCTGATCCCCATATATTTATTAATTGATTTATTTAATTCGTTAACTTTTGTCATAGCAATCTTCGTACACTTAACTACCTAGTAATAATACACACACATACATGTACATGTACATGTACATACAACAATTTTTTAGAAACTCAAATTTTTTTGGAAAAAAACCGCAGGCTATAGCTACAGGGATTTTTTCAAATTGGCTTCGAAATCAACCCCAATTTTTATTACACTTTCTGATGCATATACATGTACTTATGTAGTGTAGAAAGTTTGAGCTGATTCCGATCAAGATGAGAATTACCTCTTCATGTTGAAGAGCCACACCTTCTAACTGCATAGTGCATATCTCTCTATGAATATTCATTACTATGTATAAGTGCCCAGTCAGCACTTTTTCTTCCTCAATACTTGGATCAACTAGAAGGTAATTACTGTGTGTGGAGATTAATTGACCACACCCACTAATAAAAACATATTTACCCTTCTGATAAAAACCCAAAGGTAATGCATATTGGAGTGTGGTGAATATTGAGAGGAACTGGTTCCCGTTCTGATACTGGATGCTGGTACGGGAATGAATCTTAAAGCTATGAATATCATTAACTCACTATAGTAGCATGTTCACCAGAAACTGTTACATACGGCCTCCTATTGATTAATAAATCAATTAATTAATTAATGTTAATTAACCTGCAATGTTTCAAGGCACAAAACGAAGCCATTACGCAACAGTCGGTGATGTTACCACTATCATTCAATATATGAATATCAACTCTGATAGACCACACCTACTTTAATTAAACAACATATTCAATAACAAGCCACACCTACTTTCTGTCCTGCTATTATACAGAGGCTCTCAGTGTCCAGTGATCGTGACTCCTTAAAGCAGCGATCCAGTAACCTCTCAACTCTCATGGTTAGAGAAGACCTACAAGTGACATGTGATAATAATTAATAATAAACCTATTGCAAAAAAGGAGAGTACATGGACCTGCTCGTACTTTCCAATGTCATAATTAGGTGCTGCCATTGGTGAGGGAAGTACATTGAAATACAGCAAACCATCTGTCGGCCTCTGAGGGCGTGGCACTACCACCTCACACCCAACACAAGCTTGCACCCTATTAATAACCAGTAATAACTATTAATAACCAGTAATAACTATTAATAACCACTAATATAACTACTAATAATCAGTAATAATAATTAATAACCATTAATATGACTATTAATAAACTACCTTGTCTCACCAATTGTTACCAGTACGTTGCCATGGGTTACTGGAGATGGTTTGATGAACACTTGACGATAATCATACACAGAACGACCATCCAACCTCTACCATTGATACAGTAAATAAACATTATTAATACATTAAATACAGTGATAAGAGTATAGGTTGGATCTTCATCAGTTCTCTCACTTTTCTTTCTTGAATTGCTTCTAGTGTGAACTCTTTCTCACAGTTACTGATGGCACTAGCTCTACTTCTGTTCATGTTTCTGCACGTGGTGGGCGTGGCTCATAATTAATTTATTAAATTGAATATTTGAATCAATACAGTAATAAAATAAAACAATGAAAATAAAATAACTGATTTAAAAATAGTAATTAATATTTTATTGATTACACAAGACCTCTTTCACCAAACCACAGACTATAAAAAGGAGAGAGAGTTCGATATTTCAATTGTTTGTTTGAATTTGCTAACCATTCACTGTACAATGTGTTGCCATGGTTACTCATAACGATGTTCCTGACCTCAACTGGAGGGCTCAGTCCAAACCGCTGGGCCCTTTCCCATCTCTCCAACCTACTCATACCTGTAAACAAACCAACAAACAACGTAATGTATAAACAACAACAATCCATACCCAGACATGGGCCGTATTTTAGATTGAGGTCAAATTGACGTAGGATGTTCAATTCAGCTTCAACTTGTTCAACTAAAGATGAGGAGAAAGAGAATGAGCAGCTAGAGGTTCCACTATAAGGCCAATCCTTTCTACTAGTCTAGCAAGAGGCCAGGCCGGGCTACCTTAATAATACCTGTTTTTGTCTGATCAGTAGTAATTGGTCTATGGAAGGACGGGGCCTCTTTCTTGATGACTGGTCGAGGACGAGTTGCTGTGAAGTTCAGTTTAGTTTGTTTACCAACAGACGCCATGTTTGTGACAATTACCACGCCCACTTTTAGCAGCAAGGGCAAGGCTGCAATATAGTTGCAATAATATTAAACAATAAACAAAATGTAATGACAAAAAGGCTCAGGAGTGAGTAGTCTTTAGTGATTCTGATCTGATAAGGACATTCTCTCCCACGTGTAGTCAATAAATGTGGACAACTATAATAAGAACAAAGCTATTAAATAACCTTCGGAAAAATACTCAAAAATTAGCACTAAATTCTGACCTGTTGTAGTCGTGATAGTCTATCAAAATGTCTCTCTAAATAAATAAATAAATAAATGAATAAATAAATTAATGACTTTATTACCAGTATACGGTATTAATCCAGTCAATGTTTCCGATATATTTGATATTTTCGATAAATCATCAGGATCCTTAATCTTTAATAATACATGTAATACTATGAATAATAAATTAGTATCAAATAATTAATAAATTTATTAATTACCTGATTGTGCTACTCTACAATATTTTGAATTCGTGTTCCATTTCTTAACATAACCAAGTAAACAACCTAAAGGATTTGTACACAACATAAGAACATGTATATGTATCAGAAAATGTAATAAAAATGGAGAATTCTCTACTTTCCATTTTTGGCAAAATTTGGCCCGAGACCATGTACTATAGTACAGGGACTTTTGTCCGATTTTGGAGCAATTTTAAAAATTCGTAAAAAATTTAATTTTGATCGGAATTAGTTCAAACTTTCTACATAACATAAGAACATGTATATGTATCAGAAAATGTAATAAAAATGGAGAATTCTCTACTTTCCATTTTTGGCAAAATTTGGCCCGAGACCATGTACTATAGTACAGGGACTTTTGTCCGATTTTGGAGCAATTTTAAAAATTCGTAAAAAATTTAATTTTGATCGGAATTAGTTCAAACTTTCTACACAACATCAGAACATGTATATGCATCAGAAAACGTAATAAAAATGGAGAATTCTCTACTTTCCATTTTTGGCAAAATTTGGCCCGAGACCATGTACTATAGTACAGGGACTTTTGTCCGATTTTGGAGCAATTTTAAAAATTCGTAAAAAATTTAATTTTGATCGGAATTAGTTCAAACTTTCTACACAACATAAGAACATGTATATGCATCAGAAAACGTAATAAAAATGGAGAATTCTCTACTTTCCATTTTTGGCAAAATTTGGCCCGAGACCATGTACTATAGTACAGGGACTTTTGTCCGATTTTGGAGCAATTAAAAAAATTCGTAAAAAATCCAACTTTGATCGGAATTAGTTCAAACTTTCTACACAACATCAGAACATGTATATGCATCAGAAAACGTAATAAAAATGGAGAATTCTCTACTTTCCATTTTTGGCAAAATTTGGCCCGAGACCATGTACTATAGTACAGGGACTTTTGTCCGATTTTGGAGCAATTTTAAAAATTCGTAAAAAATTTAATTTTGATCGGAATTAGTTCAAACTTTCTACACAACATCAGAACATGTATATGCATCAGAAAACGTAATAAAAATGGAGAATTCTCTACTCTCCATTTTTGGCAAAATTTGGCCCGAGACCATGTACTATAGTACAGGGACTATAACACAATGCCAAATCCTGTGGAACTATTAGTATTATTAATTATGGCAACTATTATTATTAATTACTAAGTTGTTCTTCATTTAATGATCTTATTGTTGCATGAAACGGCTCAGAATGAATGCCACTGGAACTTAGTATATCTGCAGAGAGAAGACATAAGGTAAGTCCTTGGTTCCCTGTTACCTGTTAGTGCCTTAAGGACTCGGTTCGGTTGGTCTAGAGTGATGGCCACACCCACTGCTCTCTCGTAATCCTTATCTTGTAATAAATTCAACAACTGCTGTTCCCTGAGTGAATCATTAAAATAGTAATAATAATTATTATTATTACTTGAGTATAAAATCTGATTGTTTCTCTTTCTCTTGGGTTCTCTTCTCATTTGTCACGTCCTACAGGTCACATGACATCAGCTCTCAGACACATGACCACTGTACCTTCCATTCACACACTGTGGTGTCACTGCTTCCAGTGAAGAGGCTCCGCCCATCATTGGGTGTGGCTAAGGACCACACCTTATCTTCATGAGCGTCTAAAGTAGTCAGACACTCATTCGTCTTAACGCTCCAAATTTTCAATAAACCATCATTAGCTCTGAATAATAACAACAACAACAATAATAACAACAATACTAACTACTTACACTGATGCTACTGCTTGTCCTTTATTAATGAAGATTGCTTTTAGAATTGAGTTGGAATGTCCTTCAAAGGTTTTCAAGGTACTGAAATCACTAACTGACCAAAGTCTTAACGTATTATCACTGGAACTTGTCAATACACACTGGATGAATAAACAAAATAAATAAACAAACAAACAAACAAATAAACAATGATTACTTGGTCAACAGGAGAGAACTGTACTGACCACACCCCCCTCCTGTGTCCTTTTAATGTTCCCATCAGTTTACCATCAGCTACTGACCATATCTATTGTATTATTAATTGATGGGTGGAGCTTCAGTGTATAGCTACATGTAGCTCTACCTTAGCAGTTTTATCGTGGGATCCAGTTACAATAAGTTTGTTATTTGGTGAAACATCAATTGAATTAATATCCTAATAATATACAAACACCCAATCAGTATACTACAGGCCCTCCCCCTCCTTTACTTTATTGTGAGCAGCTTCAGTGAACATGGCGGACATACTTCCCTAAATAACAATAATAATAATAATAATAATAATAATAATAATAATAATAATAATAATAAGACAATGGTAGGTAGGTAAACCTCATTAGTCTTCTTTGACAAGAGCAGCTGTTTGACGTTCCATAATTTAATAGTTTTATCTAAACTACCACTAACAAGGAAGGAGTTGTCCTGTCTGGAAAATAATTGAAATAATATTAATAATGCAAACATACTTGGCCCAGGCTATTGCTGTAACACTCATAGTGTGGCCCCGCCCAGTAGCCACACCCTCATACTGACCACTTGAAGGGTTTCTCCTCCAAACTCGAACAGTTTTATCCTTGAAACATTAGACAGTACAGTAGCTGGTGCTTATCAATAATCTCACACCTTAGAACCAGTAGCTATCATCTCATTGGTCACATTAACATCAACACACAGTATGACATCAGCATGCCCTCTCACTAGCTGACACTGTGACCACGCCCCCCTCTCGTACACCTTGAGGTTCTCACTATTGGTTGCTATAGCAACCTCATCGTACCCATCCCCAGAAATACACTTGATGTCTAGTACCTCATCAAGATTACCCACAAACTAATGAAATAATAATTATTAATTATAATTATTGAAAATAACTTACATATTTAACAGACTTGTCTTTTAACGAGTATAATAAGAGGGTGTGGTCACTGGCCACAGCTACCAGTGACTGTAGGGCGTGGCAGTACAATAGATCACTAAAGACGTGTCCAGTTGATTCCGGTAATGAATACAATGAACCAAGACAGCAACCATTCTCAATATCCCATAACTTCAATACTCCTTTGGAGGCATAGTCAAAAGAGGTGTGGTCAGTGACAAAATATAAATACCTTTCTCTCCTGCAGTTGCCACGGTAACAGAGCCCCTCCCACTCACCTCCTCTGGTATGAGTTGCAATCCTTCAACGGCCTATGACATACTCTAATTAAAGCACACCTGATATTACGCAATACCTCATAAACTGGTAATACTTTAAGGAGCTCCGCCTTCTCATCATTTAATAACCAGTAGTTAATAACCTGGTCACGCCCACCACTAATGAAATAGTCTCCGCCCTCTTTAGACAAGAAGAGCAGAGTGGTGACTGGACTTACATGAGAACCAGACAATATCTGAATACACCTGCAGTTGATATTAATAATAATAAAATGAACCAGTTAATTACTAACTTGCTGTCTTGAAGGCTCCATAGTCTAATGTTGTTATCAATCGATGAACTGAACAGGAGGAGCTTCGATGGATGGAATCTGACAATAGAGACCACACCTACTCCAGGCCTGAAGTGGTGAGTGCAGTACTGACGGCTCATATCCCATACTTTAATCGTTGAGTCAGCAGAACCTGAAACAGACACACAGGAACCTGTCGTTACTATAATTAGTAACACATACCAGTAGCAAGGAGAGAGGAGGAGGAGTCTATATCCATGGCAACCACTGGACCTAAATGTCCCTATTTAAAGTCAATCAATTGATGAATTAATCATTAAAGTATATTTACTTTCCATTGCCTGGTACAAGTACTGGTTATTAAGTTATATTGCTTAATTAATAAACTCCTCCAGGCCACACCCAGTGTAGTCTCATCTGGACTGACGGCCAGTGTAATGGGAGTGTCCTCTTCCTAATTAACTAATAATTATTATTAATTACTTGTCATACTTCATCAAATGACTGTATTGTTGCTAAAGTGCTCAGATCAACTAATTTGATTGAGTTATGGCACATGCTAATCACATGGGACCCATTTGAAAGAGTCTAAAAAGGCAAACAACAGTTAATAATCAATTTAATGAATTATTATTTACTTTGACAGATCCTCCAGTGTAAAATGGATTAAGTCTATGCTGTAGCTCGTAACTATAAATAAAATAAATAAATATAAATATAAATAAAATAGTTACTACCAAATTGCCATATCGAAGCACGTGGCACTAGCCCCACCCTCAAACTACTCATGAATTATTCATAACTTTGTCAAGAGCTCATTAATATTCATTATGATGGTCACGTGACTATTGCCAATCACTTTAAAGGTTGCCTAGCAACCAAATGACTTCAGGCGGGATCATAAGAAGAAGAAGAAAAAGCATGAGGCAGCCATTCTGTCTCTCTCCTCAGGTTTTATTTTCTTCTATCCAGTTACCCTCTCTCTCTCTTTCTCTCTCTTTCTTTCTCTCAGTAGGGTTGCTGAAGTCTCTAGTACTAACTGTTTGAGAGACAGACAGACTCAGAGGTTACTTACTGTGTCCTGTATGTACAAGCTTGTAAGATTCTTTATGTAGGGAGGGGCCATGACTTGTTACTGTCTGGAGTACAGGATAGTTAATGAGATAAGTTAATACACACACAGTGCTCCTGTATATGAGTGTGTGATGAATAATGGAGGGAATAGTTTATCTAAGTGTCAGTTGGTAAAGACAATGAGCAAAGCAAGAGTGAGAAATACATGTAATGGGGAAAAATGAGTGGCTTTGCTCTTTGCCTTTCCACTGGCATTTTGGTAACATTCTCACTTTATTCTTTCACCCATTCCGCATGTTATTTATTATTATTATTATTATTATTATTATTATGGGGTTATTCTTTTACTTTTATATAGTATTTCATTGTTAATATATGACGATTGAATTTATATCTTTTGTATTTTTCAGGTTGATGTACATTACTCATCAAAGACAGTTCCCTCTATTTGTTAATGATATCCGCACACTATCATGTACATGTACATCCTTATCTATAACATGTATTCTATTTTTCTTTCCTTAAGATTGCTACATAGACTCAAGAAAGCAAGTCTTCTTCCACATCAAATCCAACTGTCTTCAGTGTATGGTAACAATGTATCTATTGCATGCTAGTACCTTGATTACAGTGCTAATAGTAAAGGGCTCATTGTATACTGTTATCCACCCCAGTACATGTAATAAAGCACTGCCCCATTGATCTTTACTCATTCTATTGTTTAAACATTTTTCTTTTTTTATTTCAATAGGGATCAAGTTTAAAGTTGGTTGAGTGTGAGGTAGAATGAGAGTTAATAATGTATAATTACGCATGTTTATAATGTATTTTATGCATGTACAATATAATCCACACATGTCCTTCCATCCCCACCCCCCAACCTCTAGTAGGCCTCTGACTGTTCTGGACTGGACTCGGGATCAAGTTTAAAGTTGGTTGAGTGTGAGGTAGAGTGAGAGTTAATAATGTATAATTACGCATGTTTATAATGTATTTTATGCATGTACAATATAATCCACACATGTCCTTCCATCCCCACCCCCCAACCTCTAGTAGGCCTCTGACTGTTCTGGACTGGACTCGGGATCAAGTTTAAAGTTGGTTGAGTGTGAGGTAGAGTGAGAGTTAATAATGTATAATTACGCATGTTTATAATGTATTTTATGCATGTACAATATAATCCACACATGTTCTTCCACCCCCCCCACCACCCCCTCTAGTAGGTCTGACTGTTCTGGACTGGACCTGGACCCTGGTAAGTATTGATTGCATGTTCTCCGTTATTACATGTAATGGGGTGGATAACAGTATACAATGAGCCTATGGTTGAAATCTAATCTGAATTTTAATTTTTTTTGAAATAAGAAACTTGAATAAGTAGGTGGGGCAGTGGAGCTATAACCACACCCACTAAACAGGCGTGGCTTTTACAATTCGGAGTCAGTATACTCTCTTATGTGGCCCGTATACTAAGAATAGAGAAGTCGGACACGCCCCTTATACTAGGGCGTGGCTGGTGCTGAAAATGGGCTCCAATTTTATGCTGGGAGATGGTTCCTTTGGTGCATTTACATTCTACGCTCGTGAGCATCAGGCGGAGGAATGCAACAGTCACGGCCTTCCCCTCACTCCAAACACCATTCTCATGACCGGCCGGTTCGAAGGAATGAGGAACATACAGCACAATAACCTCTGTGCTTATTTGGACCTGCTCAAATGTAATGGAGGTCAGCCTTTGTCCCTGTTCTCATTAATTTATTTTCTCTCTGCCGTCACAGAGAGAATGGTTTGTGTTTCTGAGTATTACAAAGACTCGCTGGAGACCAGAATGAAGCAAAAGTACTCATTCACTCAGTAAGTGGAATTATTAGATGGTTTTTGAGTAATGGGTTCACGATCAATCATTATTAATAGTTTGGGTGCAGCTCAGTTAGCAGCTGAGCTAACTGACGCTCTTTCTTATCTTCATGAGAGAAACATGGCTGCCTCTTTCCTCTGTACAGAGTCCGTCTTGTTCAATAAAAATGTATTTTTAAATTTGTCTCATCAAGTAATATTGCTCCTTCCTAGGGTAACGTTAAATTGTTTAATTATGGATTCTGTCACATTACTGATTATGGCAATTTTGTGGATTTTGCTCTCGAGTGAGTTAATAACTAGCCACACCTCTTTTAATAACCCCAGGTCTCCTCGGTACATATCGCCCGAGCTCCTTCTCTCTCAGAGCAAAGACCTTCACATTGCCATGGCAACAAAGTCTAATATCTGGTCACTGGGTATCATTCTGCTTGAGGTGTTCATGGTGAGTCAGTCGATGATGTCATTATGATGTAACTTGGTTCTAATTAAAGGAATGCCACTTGTATCCTGATCTATTTTTAAAAAATGGACTGGCCACTTTATTTACTTGTCTCCTCCGATTTGTACGAAACAGTCAAAGTATGTGTAGATTCTTTTGGGTGTGGTCATGTTATAATTAGGGGGTGGGGCTACACCTCTGGATGGCCTCCTGGAAACTCACGGATTAGCTGAGAAACCAATGGACACTAATTTAAAATCATTTCTTGAGCTCTGCCTTGTACCGCTGCCATCAAAAAGGTATTTATAGTAACAGTAGAGTGATGATGTATTCATGTTACTATTTATAGATCATCCGCCCATTCCCTTTTGTCACACGTGTACCTCAAGGTAGCTAAGAATAAGAAAGACAGCGACAATCTACCAAAAGTATATTATAACTAATTAATAATAGTTGAAGTGAAGCTCTTACTGTTACTCATTATTGCTACCAGCTGGTTAGTATACGGAATCCGTTTGATGGTGAGAGGGTCACGGAAAAGATTGAAGTACCTTCTCCATACTCTAGTAGCAGCATGAGCACTGGTGAGGCTAACGTCATTTTAAAAGAGGATCATCTCTCCAGCTGCAGTTTACAAGTAAATATTAATTAATAATAATATTATATTCTTTGCTTAGGAGGTATATTTTTTATGGTCTTTGGCTGGAGGAGATTTGAATAACGAACTAAGTAAAGCCTCACTAGTTACTAATAGACCACCTGTACTGAGTTTACCATGGTAACTGATTGTTACTAATGATTATTATTAGTTATTAATGATAGTGTGGTGGCACAGGACATCAAAGAGTTTGGAGTAGAAGAAGATTCAATTCATTTGTATGATGACACAGTGGTTACTCTACCGATGGAACAATTGAGAAAAGTAATAATAATAATAATTATAATTATTGTTATTATAATGATCCTAATTATTATCAGAGACTCCAGTCCAAAGGTATTGAGGACTATTACCCAATAATGCCAGACCCTGAAGTAGTGAAGAAGTATGTACATACACTTATTAACTGGTTATTAATTATTAATTACATGTTAGTGATCGCAGGTCAGTTGTCAATGATTCAGAGCAGCTGCTGCAGCTAAGCAAACTACCTCTTCAAATTAAAGAAAAAGACATCGACTATCAAGTAATTACTTTATTATTATTTTATTGTTGTTGTTGTTTGTTTAGTTTCATCGTCTCATATTATATCGTCGTTTACTAGAGGCGTATCCTTATACAAAAGAATTAATAATTACTGAAGCTATTGTTGATGTGTGTCCGCTCAATCGGGGACCAATATGGGCAGCACTGCTTGATGTACATGTAAGCCACACCTACCAATTAACACTAGCCACGCCCAATAATTATAGGGTGATATTGTCTCAAGATATGATGAAATAGATAAGGAATCAGCCACACCCACTGACCGACAGATAGCAGTAGATATTCCTCGTTGCCACCAGTACCACCTGCTCCTTGCCTCCACTACTGGTCAGTTCAAATTCAATAGATTATTAAAGGCATGGGTCAGGGACCATCCTCACTTAGTCTACTGGCAAGGTAACTTTATGACCTCATGTGATATCATATGATGTCATTGGTAGGTCTTGATTCTCTCTGTGCTCCTTTCCTTTCTTTAAATTTCAATGACGAAGGTAAGCGAGCCTCATCCTGTAGGTGTGGTTTCTATTGATTATTAGCGTTGGCCTATGCCTCATTCTGTTCATTCATTGATAAATATTTAACCAACTTCTTCCTCAAGGACAACTCACCAGTAATGCAAGGTACGTATCATGTGACTATCATGTGACCTCTTCTTTAGAATATCTAGCAATATTCTTACAGCTCATTGCTTATCATGATCCAGTAGTGTTTAACAGATTGGATACCATTGGCTTTTTCCCAGACGTACGTTAGCCATTATTAATATTAATAATGATTATTAGTCCTGTACACTATGCAGCTGTATGCCATCCCCTGGTTCCTCACTATGTTCACTCGTAAGTTATGACATCACATGATGTCACGTTACATCACACGATGTCATTTACTTGTAGATGTTTTTCCGCTGGATAAAGTCTATCATTTATGGGATACACTGTTGCTAGGCAACCCGTCTTTTCCTCTATTTGTGGGTGTGAGTATATTAGTCCAGTTGCGTAATGAGTTGCTAAGTTACGACTTTAACGAGTGCATTATGATGTTCTCTGACCTGCCAGGTCAGCATTTTATTAATTAATTTTAATTTTTTAATTAATTCTATTTTGTTAGATATTAATATTCATCAATGTGTTACGGAGGCGGGCAGGTTATACCACATTACTCCGCCCAGTTTATATTTAAGAACACAAGGGAAACCACAGGAACCCTTGGATAATTTTCATGGCCCCCCTGAAGCAGTAAGCAATGAAATATTGATTCCGATTGAAATTAAGAATTCTCCATTTTATTGCATTTTTATATTTTATTTTAATTTCTTTATATCTCTAGTGTAAAGTCCCACTCTCCATTGAGTCTTTGAGGTTAGAGTGTTCTCCTCAGCTATCGGCTCATGATCTCATCTCTCTTTGTAAACTGGAGAGTCGAGCTATCGGATATGAACGGGTTTCTAAGACTCCGCCCAACAGCAAAGACCCCAACGACCCGTTGCTATGGAGAGACTTGGGTACTAAAGGGAGAAACGGAGAAGTAATAGTTATTGACATCAGAACACAAGAAGAGTATCCTTCATACATCATATTACATCATATTGCATCATATTACATGTAATGATGTCATTAGTTATTATTCTTAATTGGCTCCGCCCAGGTTTGAGTCAGGTCACATGATGTCCTCGTACAACCTTCCTCATTACGAAGGGACTTTCCTTCCAAATGGTGACCTGACAGGGTCTCCAGAGACAGCTTGTCTTCGTGAAAGAGAGTGGGATTTCATAGTAATACTGGCAGGGAAAGGAGACCAGGCAGCAACAGTATGTCACTATTAGTAGCAGCTGCTTCAACTCTCTCTCTCTTTTAGTTTGCAAGGCAGCTGGTTCGTCTTAATTTCCACCATGTTTGTACGTTAAATGGAGGAGCTGGTGTTCTTCGCTCGCTGGGACTTCTCTCCTCAGTTTTAGAATGATAGTAAACCACACCCACTCTTAATTAAAGGAGGTGTGGTTCTAATTTATAGCTGTGCTATACAGTATTTATACAAGAGGCTAACATTGTATTATTTTTATAGTATTTTTGCTTTCACCAAAAGCGCCCACGTTATTGCACGTGTTTATAGTATACGGACGTAATATCCAAGATTAATTTGCAGCTCCAGCCCCGCCCATGCAGCAACCCAATGCAGCTAGCTTTGTTAGCAATGGAGAAGGTTTTAGCCCTTGCTACTTTGTTCTTCCTTCTTGGAGTCCTCAGCTCAAGTGGAGACATTATTTGTCCAGATAAGGTCACAGAGTGTATTTCTGGTAACACCTGCTGCCCCTCAGACAGCAGCAAGACCAGCTACTTGTGCTGTCCCCTCTCCTCGGCAGTTTGCTGCTCAGACTACTTACACTGCTGCCCTCAGGGATACAAGTGTGGCAGTGAGGGATACTGTTCCAATTACCCACCACCTCCTCTTCATAATAATGAGACCAAGACTGTCTTAAGAGACTGAAACAATGGCATTATGCTTGGTAATGGCTCCTTTCTTCTTAATGTTGCTACGCTTTGCTGCAAATGTCACAAACTATTATCATTGTATATCTTTATTGACATTTTGTTGATTTTTACAAGATTATAAAATGAATGATAATTAATGTACTTGTAACCGACGGTAACACTGCAGGCTACATAGCGGCTGGTTTGTTTTTGAATCGGAATATCTCTTAGGGTTACTGGAACACACAGAGCACAGTGGACGAGCAGGAGGGGGCAATGGAGAGGACACTGGACGATGGATAGGAAACTGGAGACCGGGAGTGACCGATAGACTAGTACCTTTAGTCACATGATCATAATAACGAATATGAGGACCGAGGACCTGAGGGGCTTGTTTCTATAAATGAAGATCATTAGTAGCAGCTGCTGTGGACTATATCTCTCACTTTATCATCATCTTTCTTCTTCGTTGACTGCTTTTGTAACAATTTCTGTACAGTATCAGCCTAAACAACCAGTAATAATAATAACAACAGCACCATTATGATATCATGATCATCATTACCTTGTGTTTTTCTCTACGTTTAATTGCCTGGAGTCGCCTCTTCTTATTTCTTTCCGTTTTCTTCAATAGCATTTCTTCGGACTCAATTTCATCAGATTTCATTTCTAATTCATTAATATTAATAACTCCATCCATTAATAACTAGCCATGCCTACTCATTAACGGTAGCTCCAAAAGTTCTTCTTCTTTCGATCCAAGCATTGATCTCTAATTATAAGGACGTTATCGTACAGTCATTATATCTGTACCTGTCTTGCTGTCATTGCATTAGGGTCCTTAGCTTGTGGGAGATACCCTCGCTCATTTACCATACCTGTTTCCAAGGCAACAAGCCACGCCTCCTCCTCGTCTTCCTCAATTTCTTCTTCTCCACTGAACTGGAAACTAATGTCCCTCCCATCACCATCCCCAGGAGATATATCATCACTACCTATTGATACATGTACACGAGATCATGTGACTATCATGTGACTATCATGTGTACGTACCTCCCACCCACTCATCTCCATAGTTACTAATGGACGGGCCCGTCCCTATGGAAACCCTGTCCTCAGTGGTAGTGAGGAGCTCGTTTGATCCTAGTTTAATCTTAAGAGTCAATGGCCTGTGACTTGAAGTAGCTGACAGAGGAAGAGCTTGTTGGGACTCGTCATCAGTAATGGAGACTGAAGCCTCTTCATCTTCTACTATGGCTTGTTTCTCAACGTGTCTCTTCTTTTTAACTTTCTTCACTCTCTTTTTCTTTAGAGAGGAGGGCTCTGCTAATCAGAAAATGAAGTCGTGATTGTAAAATGGGGACACTAACCTTCTTCTTGAGCTGGTTCTTGCTCTCTCTTCCTCTTTCGTCCCATTAGCACTACCTTTATCTCCTCCTCCTCTTCATGGGGTGTGAGGTTACCTTGGTGACTGATATACATCAGGTAAGTATGCTCGCACTGTTGTTCAATGGTGAGTCTTCTCCTCTTGGAACAAACAGTAGGGGAAGGGTAGGCTCCGCAGCGACCTCTCAAAATGGAAGAGGGAAGAGTAAGAAGATGAGATGCTGCTGCTGTTTGGACGTTTCTTTCTCCTTTGAGGCTTCACCACTTGAGCCATGGCCATCAAGACCAGTACCAAAAGCTCTAGGCCACCATTTTGTAACTAACATTGCAAATGAGGTCTGCCCTTCACTAAAAGTAAGGCATTACAAGCATTATACTGAAGCTGCTTTTATGATAAAATTTAAATTTCACACTTTTACAGAGCAGATCTAGCTCCGATCCAAGCAACTCAAATGCTAACATGAACAGTAAACACACAAACTCTCGCCCTACTCCTCCTCCTCCTCCCCCTACTGCAGTCCATCCTAAAGTCCAGGAGAGGAAGTTCCTCTTCAAACGACCCCATCACCAGGCCTACGGCTCACGGTCAGCCGCCCCATTGTACCAGTTCACTCATTTCTTTCAGCTTTATGACCACATTGATGACTACAGGAAGTATTGCTGTAGCATCTCTACAGTCCAGTCTTCTTCTTATAATCAGTCATCAACTGGTGCTGTCAGTAATGGAGGATTGACTGTCAAGAAAGCCGTTCCAACTTGCACACCATCAGTAATGCAAATGACAGCTCCTAAGGAGAGGTATGTCCATGTCCAGTGTCTTTATGATTGCACTTCCATTCATTTGTAGACCTCCCGAGCGGCAAGCAGCAGATATTAACTACATAATATTTGAGTGTCCAACAAGACATGACACTTCACTCCTTTACAGACCCCTTCTCTTTGCAAGGAACTCAGGACAACCTTCTAACGCCTCTTCAAGACTACTAGCAGAATATTGGTCATCAGCAGCTTCCACTGTTGACTCTGTGATGCACATTAAAGGGAGCACTCACTCAGGTGAAATCATTATCCTTAATACATGTACACTGAACTGTGTAAACAGTTTGAGCAGATTATGATTGAAATTTTTTGAATTATTAATAATGGTTTTAAAATCACCCTAAATTTTCATCACATTTTCTGATGTCTTCTACATGTACTTAGACACTTGTTGTACATTGGAGCTCATTATTTCTATTATTGTTAGTTAATGGCAGTTCATGTAAGAATGGGCTAGGAACAGAGAAACACGAAGAGCAAAAGGAAGACCCACTTTTATTGCTCCAGCAACAGAACAACAAGCAGTCAGGAGCATTCCTTCATCACATAGAGAGGAAAATGAAAGAGAAAGCTATGATTGCTAAGGAAGACAAAAGTGTTGGAGGAGGAGGAGGAGGAGGAGGAGGGAGGGCATTGCTGGAGCTACAGGTGGAACCAATGACACTCAACGAAGCAAAGTACATGAGCAAGAATTAAATGTAATTATTTTTATTATTAATTTTTTGTTTTTTAAAGATGCAATTGTCACAATGTTGAATCAAGGAATCGTATTTCATCATTCTCTTCTTCCAACAGCAATCATCAATCACCTAATATTAGATCAAAATCACCTACTGAAACTGTATCGTGTCAAATTAACGATGAATCAAAGATCCACTTTGATATTAACTCCTCGAAAGCTAATCTTGAACAATCAAAGACTGATATTGATGCAAAATCAAACAGAGATCAAGGAATCAGTGATAAAGAAATCAATAATCAAGGAATCAGTGATCAAGGGATAACACGAGTTGATTATCCGATATTTGTTGCAGAGGAAGCTTCTAGTGTTACCTCAACTAGCAGTGCTCCTTCTGAAGGAGCTTCCTCTTCTTCGTCTTTAAGGAGACCAATCCACAGCAATGTCTATAGCAACCCCTTCGAATACTCAACCAACAGAGAAGAAGACTCCATTATAACTCACAAAGCCAGTGGAAGACTCCTGGCAGGTCGGATCAGAGCAATATCTGATTCTGGAGTAACAGCAGGAGATGAGAGCATCAGCAACAGCTTACAGAGTAAGTCTTTGTTCAAGAACAACTCATCCAAGGAAGGATTAGTGAGAAAGAGCTCTGATGACCAAGCTAGCTATGTTCCTCCAACCAATAGTCTTCCTAACTTTCTAAATTTGACACTGTCCCAGCATAATAGCATCATACCACCAAACACTCCGAGTCATTCGAACAGAGATCTCCTGTATGTTGGTGTAAACCCAAGACCGCTCTCTCATGAGGTCATTCCACAAAGCATCAGTTCAAGAGTCAAGCACAGGCTCACATTATGTGGAACCAGTTCTCCTTCTCCTCCTCCTACTGTCAGTCATCATGATCCTTTACTTAAGAAGAATTCAAAAGGAAGGCATTACAGACATTGCTTCAAGAAGTCTCTTAGTCGACGTATTTCATCCACCAATCGCTGGATGGTAGTAGATCACACTTCAGTGTCTGGTAAAGGTAGCAAAACACTGCCAACGCTTGAAGACATCGTGAATGCTGAATGATATGAGCACCAAGTACCTCTTGACACATTTTTGCAATTACATGTATGTTCTCTCTTTTTTTGATTCAACTTTTTCATCTTTTTTGTAAAAAATAGACAAGACATGCGTAATAGTACAGTTTTAGGAACAACAATATTTAAAACAAATAAATGTAAAGTACAAGATTACTCTAAAGTGCTGTTAACAATACTGCTCCACTTCTCACTCAGTGAACTGTGGAGTCTCTGTGGTAGCCACATTGCCAAGTGTGACAGTAGATCTATCAAAAGAAAGCTATGAATAACGTTATTATTCTGAAATAATTATTGTTGCAAATTTCGTGTTTCTAGTCCAGTTGCAGAAATCAAATCACAAAATCTGAATCTTCATTGCCACGTGCTGTAGCTTGGAATAATTTTTACAAATCTTGTTGTACTTACATTTAGGATCAGTCTTCCATATATTCATTAATTCTTGTCTACTTGATACTTCATTTTCAACGAGAGACGAGAGAAGAACTTGAGTCCTTTTGTGGAGTTTGGCCCAACTCTTGACCATCGTAATGGGAGGAGTCAGCAATGAATCCGTGAACTGAGAAAAACCAGGAGCAACCTATACAATAATAATAATAATAATAATAATAATAATAATAATAATAATAATAATAATAATAATAATAATAATAATAATAACAATAATAATAATAATATTAATAATAATAATAATTATTATTATTAAATGGAGAGTTCGGAATGAGCTCAAACTTTATATGCCACACAAGAGTTGCGTATAAAGCTCCTTAAGTTGAATGAGGTCTTACTTCTCCTTTGAGTAGAAAAACTGCAAACCATTTGTATCTTTCCAAAGAATCCGTGGGGTAAGGAAAGGACTGAACACCAAGCTGCCAAGAACCTTTTAAACATAAAATCAAGATAGCAATAATAATAATGATAATAATAATAATAATTAATAATACCAAATGAATATTTCATGTGACAATAGACCCTCCCACTTGAGGTGTTAAAAGTAGGCAGAGGATCTTCAAGAGGATCAGAGAACACGCACCTAGCCGGCAGTAACCATGGCAACCACTCGGCCTCAATAACACTGACATCTATTGCAATACATTAATTAACTGAGTGGGTGTGACTTATAATTAATTACTTCTCATATACAAACGAGTGGTTTCATGTAGTTCTTGAAATACAACAAACTGGGGAAGAGGAGAAGAGAGACAGAGAGAGGAGGACGAGGGTAAGTAGACCGGACTATCAGTCAGCTGACACTAAAGGATAAGAAATAAGAAATAAAGCTTTGGTGGAATATACTTCGTATCCATAATGATATTTCTTCTTTTCTTCTACATTCATTCGACTGGTATCAATCTTCCTATATCACATGATAATCACATGTGACACTGTGTGTGTGTGGGCAGTAACAACCTTGCTACTTTATTAGGAGAACCAGCTAGTACCAACTGACGAAGGACCTTTACCTGTTCATTTATAAACTGATCATGTGACTATCATGTGACCTTACTTGTTCTGAAGTGGGCAGGGCCAGATTAGGATCAAGTGAAAGGTCGCCTTTACCAGAAATTCCATTAACTAAAACAATAATTGATTAATTAATAATTAAATTAATTAATTACTGGTATTAGTAAGTTGCCGTCTCAATTTCCTAATCTCATCCATTGCTTTAATTCTTAGTCCTCTCATTTTACAATATTCGTTTCTATTTAATGCCCTCTCATAGCCTTGAACTGCTCCTAGCAACACCATCAGGTCTCCTAGGAGACGCCCCTCCCCCTAGCAACAGCAAGTAACGTTGTTATTATTATTATATTGGAGTACCTTTATTGTCCATTTCTTGTCAATTTCATTTTGAAATATCTCCCGGACACTCAGAGCCGAGACTAAGATTACCATATAAGGTAGGCAGCCATTTTGATGAGAGAGAGAAATCATTTTAGCAAAAGACGGAGAGACAGGAAGAGAAGCCATAGTACGTCCGACAGAAGTAATGGCTAATCTCTCAGAATCAATGGCTCCTAAATGAACTAAAAGATCTTCCGCAGCCTACACAAGTACATGTACATTAATAAAATGAAATAAGACAGACCCTTCCCTCTCTCACCTTTAAGGCTTCTTTACTGGGTGGAGTTGGAAAAGGGAAATTAATCACTTTAATGATATTCATAGCTTTCATCTGAAGGACTAGACCATCCACTGGTTGCTGGGTTACGTCAGGTTCTGAAAACTCAATGAAATTATTTTGAAAAACAGCAGAAGAATAAAGCCTAAGAGAAGAGTCCCATGATGATCACACGATCAAGAGGTGTGGCTAACCTGTAGCAGTGTCCAGGTTCAGTTCTTCCTGCACGACCTGCTCTTTGATTGGCTGACGCTTTTGAAACCCAATCAACTTTAAGCGTTGAAACACCAGTAACAGAGTCGTAATACTTTCTCTTAACCTTAGGACAAAAGAATTAATTAGTAAGTGCAAGGTTGGGTCATTAAACAAGAAAGAGTTACACTACAAAACAGTACTGACCTTTCCTGTATCAACAACATATTTTACATTAGGGATAGTGATTGAGGTCTCTGCAACATTAGTAGCTACAATACAGACACGAGAAGACACAGCCATCACATCAGAACCAAACACCTGTCAGACATGAAGTACATGTAAGTTCAGCATTAAAAATTCGTAAAAAAATCCAATTTTGCTCGGAATTAGTTCAAACTTTCTACACAACATAAGAACATGTATATGTATCAGAAAATGTAATAAAAATGGAGAATTCTCTACTTTCCATTTTTGGCAAAATTCGGCCCGAGACCATGTACTATAGTACAGGGACTTTTGTCCGATTTTGGAGCAATTTAAAAAATTTGTAAAAAACTCAATTTTGATTGGAATCAGCTCAAACTTTCTA